TCAGAAGTGATGGTCAAAATGGGAATATGGAAATGTTTCCATAAGTGGAAGCTATTCTTTAAATCTGTGTAAGATTAGAAAACTTAATGCAAGAAGGATGTTCAAAGGAATGTACTTTGAATTTGAGACTTCGCTTCCATGTAATTGTCTTGCAACAATCTCCACTGGAAGACTTTGTAATATCTGTTGTCAAGTCTCCGTGACTTTTGGTACCTAGACATTACAAAGGAATCATTGCATGATAGATTAGAATCTAACACATTATGGTAGTGACAATAATTTGGAATTCTTACACTGGTGATAAAGATTTGGAATTGTGAAATGAGTTTCATTGAAGCGTGGCATAGCTATTGTTTTAATTCAAGTATTAAGTTGATTATTCGAAACATTATACAATGAATAATGAGTAATCAATATGACTCAAAAGTTTTTGGACCATATAGGATTAGTATTATTATTGTGTTTCACTTTGCATGTTTTGACTTCCCGAATAACTAGGTTATTCAAACCATCCACAGACGATCATACTTTGGAAGTAGGTATTAAGGCAAGACTGTCATGAATGGGTTTGTAGTTTGTCTAGGTGTTTTAGACAAAGCTGCAGTGTTCATGATTACTCCTGGAATAAGATTCGAGTATTGGTTTAAACCCACGCTCATCTGAATCACTTCATGGATTTTATCACGAGTGATTGTGAGACGATAATATCTTATATTCTTGAAACCAAGACGTGTGAGTTGTAGTTTACAAGTCGGTTGCACATTGACATATGTAAACGCACCAGTAACTTGGTGTTATAAAACATATCGGTGTGTGTGATTTGATGAGTAGATAGAGAAAGCATATGAGTCGAAGTTTATCCATTTCTTTTACCCTTGGAGGGATAAAAGCGATATATGTGGGCCCCTTGATGATTTAGTGATGACAACCCTAAGTGCTTGGCCAAGCCTGGACTGTTTTGATTTGTTCAATTAGTCAGTCGTCATAAATCGGAAATCGGGAAACAACAGATGGACAGAGAGAATGATTATAATCCATGTCTCAGTCCATATGATATCTAGAATGGAGGAATATATGATCCCTTATCTAATGGACGCATAATTTACTAGGTCAGAGTTCGACAGCGGCTTTTAAGAGCTACAATTGATAGTTGGGATTTTGGAGTCGTACTTCCAATTATAGTTATTAGACTTATCCAAGTGGGAGATTGTTGGATTAGGTGTCTAAGCTCATAACTATTATTGGTATGTACTTGACCCGAGAGTAGCATGGTCCATTTGGGTTGCATATCACCACGAAAATTTGATAGGATGGACTTTTGAGAAAAGGTTATTTATGATTTATTAATATATTATAAGTTCTAATATATTGATATGAAATCATATTATTTAATTAGTATTGATCAAGAATTAATTTGGAATTAACTTTGTGATCAAAAGAGACTAATTAAATATATAGGGATTGATAGTGTAAATCATTCAATCTTATAAAGTGGGATAAATCCATATGGTGACCCATGGATACTCCATGGAGGTTAAAACCCATGGATCATAATGAATGTGGAAAGTCATGCACATTAGGGTTTGCATGGTGTAACCCTAATTAAGCCACACTATATAAGAAGCCCCTTAGCTCATGAAATCGTGCACTAAAGTGATCTTTGGAAGAGCATAGATGATTTGTGTGCAAGACATATTCTCTCAAGTCATCCTTTGTCCAAAGGTGTGTTGTGATTCCATATGAGGTATTCACACTATTGGTGCTAAGCTCTTAAAGGTCTAAGGTTTCAAGCTACAACAAAAGGTATGTCATCTAACTAGAATTTTTTAGTATAGATACTCCATTGTATGCTAGTTAGGATGATGCTTTGGAATATTGAAAGTTTGCATGTATATTAGAGAAAACATAGATCCAAAGCATTTAGGGTTTCATGTACACCTTAGGAGTGTTAGAATGCTCAAAACCCAACACTTTGTCCTCGTAGCGCAAGGTCATTCGAATGTTCTGGATCCAATCATTGAAATTGGAACCATCAAAAGTGATCCTCGCACAAATGTTCAAGAGCGAAAAGGAGTTGTTGGAGTTGTTGTTGGAGTTACCGGAAACGTTGTTTGAGGTAGACATCTGCAAAAGAAGAGGGAAAAGGTTTTAATTAGATAAGGAATCCTTAATATAACACCCAAAATGAAACATTAAGGCTAGGACGCAACACAATAATTCACAATTCAGAAGAGGGATGTCGTAATCCAATTGTAAATTATTTAAAGGTAGGTAAATGACGATTTACCAATTCCACCACGAAAAACGAAATTAAAAGAATTAGGTTTTAAAAGAAATGAATTTCCTAGATTCTTTGAGATTCATTGAACTATTCAATGGCATGTTTAATCCCAATTATGCCTTTCAAGTTTGCGACTGGGATACCGAGGATCACAAACATGGTGTGAATAACCATGCAAATTCGCTTGGTACTCTCAATGTCATTTACCACCTAATCAATGTGCCGGTTAACCACACACGTTCCATTGATCTATGATAATTTACGAGCTACCCATTGTCACCCTTGTTAGTCCAAGTTAGTGTGCAGGTTAATCACACACGCTCCACTAACGACTTGACAAGGTGCAATGGGCAATTTCATGGTTTAGCATCAAATTCACATTTTCCTAAAGTAACTTAGATTGGGAATTTATAAAAACATTTAGTTACTTTATATTTATCATTATACTTATTAATGAGAGAATTAATGTCCTATCCTACCCGTTCGGCTAACGACCCTCCACCAATCAAGGAAGTTGTTGGTGAGAGTGGACACCCATTCAACCGTCATTTTATAGGCAGTTTCCTTATACCCCCTTATAGGTCGGCTTCGTGAATGATGTCTACTAACGGTAAAACTGACTCATCTTATACATATATATAAATTAAACTTTTAATATTATAATAATATAAGGGTGTATTTTAAACTTTTTAAAATGCCAGGGTTTTAGAATTTAATATTCCAAAATTAACCTTTAATTTAAATTTTAAATTCCAAAACTTAAAGGTTGCAATTTGAAACTTTTCAAAATTACTAGATCGTATTTTAAATAATTAATTAATCACATAATTTGTCATTATCTTAAAATTTGACCAAATCCATCTATTTTGATAAGAAAATCAGATTACCATTCAGCAAAATCAATTTATGGTGATAAAAACAAATTATGGTAATTATCCAAATCCAAAATAGATCAAAAATTCGAGAAATCAGCTAACAGACGAGTCAACTCGTCGAGTCAGGGCATGGACTCGTCGAGTTCCTCATTGAACTCGTCGAGTTCATCAAGCAGATTGTGAATCTGCTTTGATTTCTGGTTTGGACAAATCACTATTGCATCAAATATAACATAAAAACATCCTAGTCTCTGATACCACGGATGGGTTTTGAGCATAGCAACATTCTTATGTGTTCATGCAACCCTAATTGCTTTGGATCTAAGTTTTTCTCTAGCAATACATGCAAATAGAAGTTCCAAAGCAATAACCCTAATACTAGCATATAATTTTCGAAATCAATAAGAAAACTAGGGTTAGAATGTTACCTTGCTTGCTATCTCGTAATAACAAGTATTCCACGGATGATCTTGACTCTTGAAAGCTTTAGTGCCTCACGTGTTGCACCTCTAATGGAATCACAAACACCAAAAGCAAAGGATGAGTGAGATAGGGGCAGAAAATCGGCTAGGGTTTCTCCTTGGGAAGCAGTGGCCGGTTTCATGAGGTCTAAGGGCCTTTATATAGTTGTGGCTACTAGGGTTTCCAGAGTAAACCCTAATTCCTTGCTTAGGCTCCAAACAGCCCATGGACATCCCTTCTGGAAGGCCTTGGACGATTTCTATAGGGCCTCCCTATAGAAATTCGTCCACCCCATTCCAAGGGAGTCCAGCAGCCCAGTTTGCAACTATCAATGATTTGGAAAACTAGTCCCCGTACTTTTAATCAGTTCCTTTAATCCCAAAATTAATATCAAATTAATTTATGATTAAATCCTAATTAAATAATATGATTTCTAATTAATATATTATTCTTATAATATATTAACAAATCATTAAATAACCTCTCTCTCTAAAAGTCATCTTGTCAAGTTGCTATGGTCAAGGCAACCCAAAAGGATCACGCTACTATCAAATCAAGTACATACCAATTATAGTTATGGGCTTAGGCACCTAATCCAGCAATCATAACTTCCTCTAACGAAGCCAAATTTGGATGTTCCCTATATGCACGCTCTCGGTTTAACATCAACTACGACTCTCGTTTAGATTGCTAAGGCTAAAACTTACTTCGTCAAAATTTCACTTTTTACGTTACACGGAGCCATGCCGGTTTTGTCGCAAAAACTTCAACAGGTCATAACTTCTTCGTTATAACTCGGATTTCAGCATTCTTTATGTACAGAATCCTTCTGACATATACTATACTTTGGTTAAGATTATTTATTCTAAATAATCTTCTATCAAAATTCATTTTTAACGCTCATTATCTCTAAATTGACTAGCCCGAATCTATGGGAGTTACAACTTCCCTCCATTAATATAATTTAGACATTTCAATTGATCATCTTTTGTATACTTTGGACATGAAGATACATTCCCCGTCAGATGATTAATATGTTGTTTCATCCTAACATCCCCCCCCACCCCCCACCAAACACTTTTCCACACAAGGTACATTTCAATCTATCCATGTTGCTTTTATCCGGGATAACACCATATTCCCAACCAACATCATCTGAATTACGTTTATGTGCACCAGTGGCGGTTGATCCAACAGATGTAGTCGAATCATTAGATGATATGTGAGTGAGTATTTTTAATGTGTTAATGTGATTTTTAATGTGTTAAACTGATATGAATATGGTATTACTGTGATGATATACTCAATATTAGATGAAGTGATGATAAACTGATATGATATAGAGCCTGTTGATTAGAGTGAGCATTTTTAATGTGTTAATGTTATTTTTTTATAACAGTTGACAATCAATGGCATGTAATGCTTCAACTACATCTATTGGATCAACCGCTACTGGTGCACATAAACGTAATTCAGATGATGTTGGTTGGGAATATGGTGTTATCCCGGATAAAAACAACATTAATAGATTGAAATGTACATTGTGTGGAAAAGTGTTTGGTGGGGAGATTTTTAGGATGAAACAACATATTGCTCATATGACGGGGAATGTATCTTCATGTCCAAAGTCTACAAAATATGATCAATTGAAATGTCTAAATTATCTTAACTAAGGGAAGTTGAAAAAGAAAGCTAAAAAAATGCATATTGAAGACTTAAGGGTAGAGGCGAGACAAGAATTGCATGATAGCGTGGATGAAGTAGAAAATTCTTTGGAGTCGATGGCACCAAATGTTATAGGCCCCATGGATAACTTTGCAAACATAATAAACCCCGAAGAAGTTGTGAAGGCTGAAAAGGGAAAAAATTGTTGATCTTAACAATATTGTCCAGAAAGAAAGAATATTAGTGGTCCATAAATTTATTAGTAGGTGGGCATATGAGAGTGTGATTCCTTTTCATGCCTTTGAAAGGGATAGCTTCAAAATGATGTTGGAGGTTATTGGCTAATTTGGAATCGGGCTTCCATGTCCTACTAGATATGCTTTGAGTGACCCACTTCTAAAGCTTGAAGTTGAAAGAACAAAAAAATTGTTGAAAAAAAAAACGAAAAAGAATGGAAAGGGGATGGATGCTTGATTATGATGGATTCTTGGTCCGATCGAAAGAGGAGAAGCATTATGAATTTATGTGTTAATTCGAAGATGGGTACCATTTTTTTATCTTCAAAAGAATGTTCTGGTGAAGCACATACAAGCCAACAGATATATGAGTATGTGGAATCTTGTATTCAACAAGTTGGTCCCGAGAATGTTGTTCAAGTTGTGACCGATAATGTCACGAATAACATGGGGGTGGCGAAGTTGCTAAAAGAGAAAAGACCATCTATTTTTTGGACATCATGTGTGACACATACCATTAACCTTATGCTTGAAGGTATTTACATTATTTTATTTATTTATTGTATTTATTATTTTATTTGTTTATTACTTTAATTAGTTTTAAAATGTTTAATTATATACTACACTTTGTTATTTAATCGTGTTTATTTTTCAAGGTATCGGAAAACTCCCAAGGTTTAAGAAAATCCTAGATCAAGCAAAGAAACTAACCATATTCATTTACGCTCACCACAAAACCTTGGCGATGATGAGAAGTTACACCAACAAAAGGGAAATTATCCGATCGGGAGTCACGAGATTTGCTTCCGCCTTTCTAACATTACAAAGTTTGTCCGAAAAAAAGGAGCAACTAAGACATATGTTTTCTAGCAACGAATGGGAGGAATGTAAATTTTCCGGTAAGCCTAAAGGGATTGTCTCATATAAAATGGTGACAAGTGTCTAATTTTGGTCCAGTGTGACACAATGTTTAAAAGTGTTCTCCCCTTTGGTGAAACTCTTTCGAATGCTTGATGCGGATTGGAAGCCCTCAATGGGTTTTGTTTACGGGGAAATTAAAGTTGCAAAAGAAGAAATTATCAAATCTTTGGGTGGTAACGAGAAACACTGCAAGCCTATTATAGATATCATAAACACAAAGATGAAAGGTCGGCTAGATTCAACTTTACATTTAACATCTTATCTTTTGAACCCGTATTATCATTATAATGATGCACAACTCCAATTTGATCCCGATGTAATGGATGTGGTTCTTGATTTTTTTTATACATTATTTCTTGGAGATTAAGAGATGCAAAGGCAAGTCATAACTATTGACTTGCCAAAGTACAAGAAAAAAGTTGATAGATTTGGTTCCAATCTCGCAATTAAACATTGTAAGGTGAATGATGCCAACTTTGATCCGGGTAATTCGCGTTCCTTTTAGTTATCTATTTATCTATTTTATAAAATTTTGATATTTATCGATTAATAATGTGTTTTTGTTTCAAAATTGTAGCTAGTTGGTGGGGACTATTTGGTGGCACAACTCCTCGTTTGACAAAGATTGCAATGAGAATTCTTTCTTTAACTAGTAGTTCATCGGGTTGTGAAAGGAATTGGAGCACGTTTGAAGGGGTTAGTAATATAAAGCATTAAATTTATATTTTATAAAATTTAAATATTAAGCACGTTTAAACTCTTTGTTGTGTTTAAATTTGTAGGTACATACAAAGAAACGAAATAGATTGTAGAAAAGCAAATTGAACAATCTTGTTTATGTTCAATTCAATGCTAATTTAATGGAAAAAAACAAAAAAGAGAAAAAGATAGAAACATGGAAGTGTTATTATCAAATCATTCTCTCTCCGCTCAAGAATGGCTTGTTGATTGCAATGTATATGAAGTAGACCCCAAAACGGTTGATGAAGCTCTTGCAATCGATGTTAGTCAAGCACCCCGAGAAAGTCCAAAAACGAGGGAACTTTTCGATGAAAATTTCAAGTCCAAGAGTGAGGAGCAAGTGTTAGAACAAGCCGAATATGAGTCGGATGGGGTTCAAATAATGGAAGTATGTGGAAAATATTAGAAGAAAATTGTTGTGCTTGTTAAACTTATTATTAAACTTTTATGGATTTGTTGGATGATGATTTTGTGTGTTTGTTAAACTT